CGCGCTAGACCAACACGGTAACCACTGCACCACGCATCACACTACTACTACTACTACTAATGATGATGAAGATGATTGTAATGATAATGATAATGATAGTTATTATAACAACAACAGCAAAAACAACGAAAAAATACTGATAATGCTACTATTACTACTATTGAATATAATAATGAGGATGGTGATGTTACTACTACTACTATTAATGATGATAATAATAATAACAATAATAAAACCAGTAATAATGTTAATGATGATAATAATTATAACAATATTGATGATGATAATGATAATAGTAACGATGATACTCGTGACGATAATCATAATAACAATAATAATAATGATGATAATGATTGAAATAGTAATGATATCGATAATAACTACAGATGAACAAAATATGTTGAATATTAGCAATGCTACTACAAATGTGAAAATAGATATGAAAATGAGAATAAAGGAGAAAAACGAAACAAAAGAGAAACCGACACAAGGGAGATTCGATTATTATCATTATCATTATCAACATCATTATTATTATTGTTATTGTCATCATTTTCATCATTATTCCTTGGAGACGACGGTGATTTTACCATCAGAGATCCATCATCTCGCTTGGACTGCTAATACACAGGCAACTTAATTGCGTTATGTCAATCAAAACAAGTATTCTGATTCTGATTGCACTAGTCATTGTAATGAGAATATTGATACCATTATAATCTTATTACGATTTCCATGCGAATCCCTTAGCCTCTTAGGGAGTGGGAAAGGGAGAAGGGGAAGATGTGAGGAGTGGAAATGGGAAAGGGGGAAAAATAGGGGGGGGGGGGTTGAGAAGAGAGGAAAGGGAGAACGGCGAGAGAGGGAAAAGAGGAGTAATAGAAAGGGAGTGGCGGCAGATGGGATGGAGAGAGAGGGGGAGAAAGGGAAAGGGGAGGAGCAAGAAGAGGAGTGGGGGAAGAGGGGACGAGTAGAAAAGGGAGTGGGGGAGTAAGACGAAAATTGGAAAAGCGGAGAGGGAGAAAAGGGTGAGGGGAAAGAGGGGAGGAATGGAAAAATAGGGACGGAAAAGAGGGGGGGAAGAGAGAGGTGAAGAGAGCTCTCGATGTCAGAGGGAGGGGGTGGAGGGGTGGAGGAGGGCGTTGAATCTCCCGTAATTGAAGATTAATCCAAGGAACGAGTACGGCCCCCTCCCCCCTCCCCCAACATTCCAATTCCACAAAGATGGGCTTCTATGTGAGCAGAGATTTGTGTTAATGTCTCTTCTCCTTCTCCTTCCTCTTTTTCTTCTTCTTCTTCTTCTTCCTCTTCTTCTTCATCTCCTTCCTCTTCTTCTTCTTCTTCTCCTTCCTCTTCTTCTTCTTCTTCTTCTTTTCTTCTTCTTCTTCTTCTTCTTCTTCCTTTTTTTCTTCTTCGTCTTCCTATCCTTCTTTTTTCTCATTCTTCTTCTCCTCCTCCACCTTCTTCGTATTCCTCTATACTAATATTGTTGATATCTTAAACATTCTTGAATTATGATTGTAATAGCGATGACGTATACAATAATTATCATCATTTTTGTAAGTCATGTTTTATGACTATCATCATATTGGTAAATATGATTATAGCAAGAATGACAATGACGACTATTAATGCTGAAAGATGATCAAGGAGAATTGTAATGATATCAATAATGATAATAATGATAAGGATATTAGTAGTATTAGTAGTAGTGAAAGTAGTAATAATGGGAATGATGATGATGATTATAATGATGATAATGATAATAATAACAATGATAATAAAAAACGAAGGAAAAGACGAAGAATAATGACACTGATGATAATGATAATGATGACGGTTATAATGGTGTTGATAATAGTAATGATAATTAGTAAATAATGATAACAGTATCGATAACAATATTGATAACGATGATTATGATGATAGTAATAGCTATTATTATGATAATAATAATTATAATAATACAAAAAAATAATAATGATACTAATAATAATCATAGTAATAATCATAATGGTAATAATAATAATGGAAGAAATAATAGAGATAATAATTAAAACAACAATAATGATAATCATAATAATTTTAGAATTATATTAATGATGATGATAATAATCAGAATCATTATCATGATGATGATTATAGTAACAATAATGACAATAGTAATAATTACCATGATGATAATGACAATAACACTAATAACAATGATATCCTTAATGATGATAATAATAATAACATCAATGCTAATTCTAATGCTAATAATAATGATAATGATAGTCATCATTTTGATAATAATAACGATGATAATGATGATAACATTGATAATAGCCGACTATAATAATAACATTGATGACAATGATAATAAAAATTATAATGATGATAATAAATATGATAATAATGATGCTAAAAAATATAATGATGATAATAAAGATAATGATAATGATGATAAGATAATGATTAAGATATTAATAATACTAATATCAATGATAATGATAGTAATAATGATAATAATAATAATAATAATAATAATAATAATAATAATAATAATAATAATAATAATAATAATAATAATGATAATAATATAATAATGACGGTTGTAATAAATAACATGAAAATGAAGCGAAAAGTGGTCAGGCAGAACAAAAATACAGGACAATGCAAACAAGCAAACAGACTAAAAAAGAATTATTTGAACATCGTAATCCCTGTTCACTGGAGTGTGATTCCTTTATTCCTGGCTGTAGATTCTTGCTCTTTGGTCCCCGTTGGTCCGTGGCGTCACTGTGCATTTTGATTTATTTAAAGGTTATCAAAGCATGTTTCTATTCTTATATTTTATTTGTTAAAATCATTTTTCCAAGGTAGCCACTTTTTTCGCTTATAGTTTTTTTTAATCACCTTATGATATTGTTTTTTCTTTCATTTTGTTCTTTCGTCATCTTCAGTCATACATTTTATTGTATTTGTTTGTTTGTTTGAATTGTCTTTTCTTGCTGCTTTGATAAAAATGTTCGCCTCCACTGAATTATGGCGAATTACTTTTCCTATCTCACTTTTTACCGCTACTATATCTATCGACCGGCATTTATATCTGATTATCTATTTGCATGTAGATACATAACTGATTCCCCAGTAAGGAATGAAAAAAAAGTACAAACATGAATAAAGAACATGCTTTTGCTAGTCTAGCCTGCATATGTTAATAGAGTGCAGATCCAATGAAACTAATATGCCGTGAATAACATACCCCAACCCTCTTACATATCCTCTAAGGGTACAGGAAAGCTAGTTTTAGAACAGCTCCTCCTGATACCTTCGCTTTACCCCCCCCCCCCCTCATCGCCTCATCCCCGTCACGGAACCTCACTTCTTCGTCCTTTCCAGCTCTCCTTCCGGCCTCGTTGCGTTTTTCCTAATATGTAATCATTACTATTACTGATATTAGCATATTATATATAATATATATATATATATATATATATATATATATATATATATATATATATATATATATATATCTGTGTGTGTGTGTGTGTGTGTGTGTGTGTGTGTGTGTGTGTGTATATATGGTTGAATATATATGTGTATATATATAAATATCTATGTATACTTATACTTATATGTTTATGTATGTATATATATGAATAAGTTTTTCGCCATTACTGCGGCATCCTTATTGCTACTTTCTTAATGTGAATATCATCCCTGGTTTCCCTCCCAGACGGCTGGACGACCGATGACCTGCTGTTCCTGTGGGAGGAGAATGAGCCGATCCAGGTGACCAAGAACCTCTACCTGCCGCGCTTCACGCTCGAGCACTTCGTCCCCGCCTACTGCAACAGCAAAACCAACACAGGTAAGGCTGGCGGGCGCCTGCTCGAGGCTTTTCCTGACGGGTTTCCTTATATATGTACATATATATGCACATACACTCACATGTGCGTGTGTGTGGAGAGAGAGAGAAAGAGAGAGAGAGAGGAAAGGAAAGAGTTTGAAAGGAAGAAATAACGAGAGGAAGGGAGGCAAGCACGCAATGCCCCCTTGCAAATCAGGCCACGTATCCCAGGGACTGTCTGGCTGACTGATTCCTGCATCCGGCAAAATCGGCGCCGCAACACCCTCGGCCATAAACACCATCGATTCACAGCGACGCCGCTGAGAAATATTCGGCGGATTTCACGCACATTTTCCCGCCGCTATTATCGGGGATTTCGACGGCTTTCCGCGAATCCGACCAGGACATTCAGCCCGGCTTTGGGGCGACGCCGCCTGCCCAGTGGCAGCCACTCAAAGCCAGAAAGGTTTCCCTCGGCGCGGCGCCACAGCAGTCCTGCCGATGCACGTGCTCGCGGCCGTGCGAAAACATGCACGTGCGATGATGTGGATCGAGCAATACCATGTGCAAGGACTGACATCTAAGAAAATGCAGCTTCCATAGAATTCAAAATTTTCCACCAAGATTCCTTCTCTCGCACGGACGCCCCAGGAAGGGCAGAATTAATAACCGGAGCCTCAGGGTTACGCGCTTTGAAGGCCCCGAAGTCTCTCCTCCTCGAAGGAAATTATTTTTCCGCAGGCGAGGAAGTGGCGGACAGGGAGAGAGGGAGTATTAGTCTTGGCAGAGTGGTGAGGACGCGAATAACAGCTCCGGATGTTTTCTTTGCTTACTGAACTTCCTTCGCGACAAAGGAATTGCGAGTCTGCGTCTTGAGGAGGAGGGCGATGAGCGCATCTTAGATTTTCCTTACTGCTCATTCTATCTATCATGCGATTTATAATTTCATGTGAACTTGTTATGATCCTTCTTCATTCACCCTTTAAATGTCCCGTTCTTCTCTCTCTCTCTCTCTCTCTCTCTGTGTATCTATATATCTATCTATCTATATGTATATATATGTGTGTGTGTGTGTGTGTGTATACTACTGTCTTTCTCACTCTCCCTCGTCTATCATTTTTCTCTGTTTCACGCCATTCTCTCTTTCTCCATGAGAGCTCCTTTTATCTTTAATGATATCTTTCTTATCTGTTCCTCCTCTGTATCCAACGGCCTTGTCCCTTCCTCCTCCGGTACCCGTCCCTCGCCTCGGTTCCGCCTGTCTCTCTTCATTTTCGTCCTTTACCTCCTCCTGCTCCTCCTCTCTCCCTTCACCTCTTTCCCCTTCTAGTCATGCTTCTTTCCTTCCCTCCTCCCCCTTCTCCCTGCCGCCTCCCCCTCCCACCCCTCCCATGCGGTAGGGTCCATGTAACTCCGTTAACAAGTAATTGGATCCACCCTAACTGCCACTCCGTTAGTCCCTCGGATCTAATTGCTTGTTCCATGAGGTCAATCGGGTGTGGGAGGGGGGGGGAGAGGGGAATGAGAGGGGAGAGGGAAGAGGTGAATGAGGGAGAGAGGGGAATGAGAGGGGGGCGAGTGGAAAAGGAAAAAGAAAGGAGAGAAAGAGAAGGGAAGGAATAAACAGGCGAAAAGATGCTGCAGGAGGAGGGGAAGGAATGAAGAGCGGACGATGGAGGGGAAGAGGGGAGGGAGGGAAAAGGGATAGAGTGACTCGTGGGCGGTTGTAAAAAAAGTGGAAAAGAAGCGGAGGGAATGAAACGAGGGGGAAATGGAGAAGGGTGATGAAAGAAGAGGAGGGAGTAAAGTAGGGGAGGGGTTTCCGCAGCAGGAGGGGCCGGTTGGGTAGCAGGGGAGTGGAAGCGGACTCAGGGACCTCCTTCTTGTGAGGGCGGATGAAAGGGTGTGTTGGGGGCCGGTGGGCGGCGCAGTGTTCCCTAGAGAGAGAAAAGAGAGCAGGGCGTGGGCGGCATGTGTGGCGGTGGGCGGGCGGCGTGAAATGTGAATTTTCCTCTCGCTGCTTTGGGGAGGATCGGGGAGCAGTGAAGGCAGCGCCTGGAGCCGCAGAGCTCGAGCGATACCAAAGGCGCGGCGAGGAGAAGGAGAAGGAAAAAGAAAAGGAGGAGGAAGAGAAGGAAGAGGAGGAGAAGATGAAGGAAAAGGAAAGGAGGAGGAAAAGAAGAAGGAGAAAGCGAAGGAAGAGGAGGAGGAGTGGGAAAAGAAGGAAGAGGAGGAGGGATAGGAAGGTAGAGGGAGAAGGAGGAGGAGGAGAAGGAGCGGCCGCCTACGCCAGTGGCGCAACTCGCGCTCAGGCCTTGTTGAGGCTCCCATCGAGACCGTTTGGCAAGGAGCGGCATGCCACGTGGTCGCGCAGGCCGGGTATGTTCATGTCGACTCAGATAAGATGGCATGCGACAGCATGTCATACTGCAGGTGGCAACGAGCTGGCCGTGCATTTCGCCGCAGCCGAGATGAATTACCTTGTTGCCGAGTCTGGATTGGGTCTTGAATTGGACAAAATGGCAGACTGCATTTCAGAATAAGTGAGCTGGCTGAAACTGGGCTCTCCTTATAGGGTCAGCAAAAATTGGATGATGCTCAATAGTAGCAATTGCTGTTGTGATAGTAAATATAATAGTATATTCAGATTTGTTCCACAACTTGTAATGCCCCAATAGTTGCTGCAAATGCTCTGGCTGAAGTGGTCCACGGGAGACTTCTAACTTTGTCCAACTGTAGCTAAGAAGTACAGCGTTATTCAATATTGTTTATTTTTCGTGCCATGGCGAGCGTTTCGAGCAACACTACTACCGATAAACGATTTTCTTTTTCATAAACGGTTCGCTTTTTCTATTTGTGTTTTTTGTTTTGTTCCGCACGTTCCACAGCCCCAGCAGACACAACAGCGGTTGTTTGGTCGACATCTGCCTCAGGTTTGGGCAAATCGGCGGAAACGATTTTGCAGCATTCGGCATAAAAACTGGCATACACCAAGCTACGTGAAGCAACAGTGCTACTCTGTCATAAGCAACATGTCTCGCTGTTGAGAGCAGCGTTTGGCGTATGCGTTGAAAGCCTTGCAGGTCGCATGCTGCTGGCCTGCCGAAAACATGATAAAGGGAAATAGGAAGGGAGAGGAAAGGAAAAAGAAAGTAAAAAAAAAAAAAAAGAAAAAAAAGAAAGAAAGAGAGGGAAAGAAAGGAAGAAAGAGAGTGGCAAAGAGACAAAAGAAAGATAAAAGGGATAAATAATCAAAGGGAAAAAAAACTTGATTGAAAAATTGAAGTGAAGAGAAACTGGCAGAGAGAAAGACAGCAAGAGGGAGAGAAAGGGAGGCGCAGACAGGAAAGGCAGATTAAAAAGGACGAGCCTGTGGAATTGATTGCCAAGCGCTGGGCGGCTGACGCAGGCAAGCCATGGAAAATTGAATGACATCATGACCTTCTGTGACGTCATGGCTGCAAGGCTTCAGGGATTCGTGTGAGGTCACACCTGAATGACGTCCTGTCAGAGTATATGGAATGTACATGATTAGCAAATGACGTAGAAGAGGCGAAGGTGATAAAGTTCACGCAAAAAGTCTAGGAGTAAGATAAGCAAAGAGAAATCGTTTTAACAAGAGTAGCCATACGATAGACACGCACACACACACACATGAATACATA